TTGCATCAAGTATAAAATTATGTTTTCCATTTTCCATATGTACATATACTACTGATGTACCATCCCTAACTACTTGGACTAATTGTTTAATGCAAATGGAAGTATAATACAGTTCAATGTTGAAAAGGACCATACTCCATGCCATGTCATCAAAGAAGTGAAATCACACTGTATTGTTTTTATGGCCCTCTTGCTATGAAGTCTAGCAACCTCTCCTATATAACTGAGGGTTGTTTAGGGTTATATAAAAAGAAGTAAAAATAGAAAAGCCAATTAAAATTTATTACTAAGTAAGTGTTGTTGGGCAATTTGAATCCTGTTTAAAAAAAAATAACAAGCAAAACTATGTCAGAGGTCTGTCTTGGCATGCTAAGCATACCTGCACTGTTACATTCCTTTAATTCTGTGTACAAGACATGCAAGCAGCCTGTTCACTAATGCTGTTAACTTCCAGAAAAGAGGACAAAACCTGTGTCAAGCCAGAAACCAATATTGTAGTTCAAGCTGGATTCCACTGCTTCCTCCCAAATCAGCTTCCTCCTTTTTTCCTGCAGCCCCTTGTGTGTCCTAAAAAACATGTTGCAAAGAACAAAGGCACTGGAGTGTGGCAAGAGGAGGTACAGAAGAGACTCCTGATCCAGTTGTTGTTCAATACTGAAGTACGTACATCTTTGGATCAGGGCCTTAAATGGTAGAGATATGGACTTTTAAAAAATATGTCGGTGGCTGAGTAAATATAAGAAATTATGTTACACTTTTACTGTTTCTTTGGAGAAAACCCATATTCTAAGCCCTATGTATTAAATCCAAATTAGAACAGTAAAACTATATTTGTGCAATGGCTCCACAGAAAGCCAGTCCAGAGGGCCAATAATAAAAACACATTTAAAAGCAAAAAAGGCACAACAATTCATTTTAAAAACCCTCAGTCATTAAGAGAAAGCCTGCCTGCAAAGTCTTTATCTGCTTGTGGAAGGACAGCAAAGATGGGGCTAGCCCGGCCTCCTGTGGGGGTGGGGGAGTTCCAGAGCCTGGAAGCAGTGACAGAGAAGGCCCTCTCCCCTGTCCCCACCAAAGTGAAGGTGATGTGAAAGAGAGACAGGCCTCCCCTAATGATCTTAACATCCAAGCAGGCTTTTAAGGGGAGATGCAACCCTTGAGATAGCTTTGACCCAAGCCGTTTTGGACTTCATAGGGTAAAACTACAGATTGGCACAAACCACTGGTTCAACAGTTTGTTTAACAGCTGAATGGATGTTTGGTGCTTCAAATCCCCTCCTTTTCTGGCAGGCACCCACTTGGAGGAATCAGTCTGGCATCCCTGTCTCCTCCAGACACTGCTTCTGAGTGGGCGCCTCCAGGAAGAGGTGTGGTTTTGAAGCCACTGAACAAACCGGCCTCTCTCTAGTTAAAATCAGCACTTTGAATTCTGCCTAGAATTGGACTGACAGCTGGTGGAGCTGCTGTAACAGAGGGGTATGTGATCCCTGTAACCAGCCCCAGTTAACAATCTGGCTGAAACGTTCTGGACCCACTGAAGTTTCCATACACTTTCCAGAATCAGCCACACATAGAACATGTTACAGTAATACAGCCAATATAACTAAGGTATGTGTCACTGTGACCAGATCAGACCTTTCCAGAAGCAGGCACAACCCTTTCTATTCATGCAACATATCTCTGGAATCAAGTTTGTATTGTCTTTGCCAAACTGAAAGCAGGGACAAGGACTCAATGTGAAACCAAACAGCAAGCATCCACTGTCACCAAACGAAGACTTCAAAATAAAAATTTGCTACTATAGACAGTATGCCTATACTGTACTTCATAATCTCCAGCATTTTAAGATCACAATTATCTTCCTTTAAAAGAATACTAAGTAGACACCATTGTAACAACAGGATCCAAAATACTGTACACAGTTTATGAAGAAACATAATATGAAAAATCTGCTGTGCAGAGATCCGGAGATACATTTATAACAAAATAGTTTTTCCAAGTATTTAAAGTAATGGGTGTGGGCAACACTGAAGAAAAGTTACTAGGTTTAGTTGCGGACTCCATACAGGCTCCTGACAATGCCTAGCACACACCAATATAATGCAGAAACAAAAGCTATATAAAAGTGTAATGCCACAGAGAATGAATGTTCCTGCACTGATTACAGACCTTCTGGAGGTTGAGCTAGCTATTGTGGGAACAGGATTCTGGACCCTGCCATATCCTCCTGGCAGCATGCTTCATTCTTTCTTATTATATAGCCATGCATTATAGTCATGCATTCACATGAAACAAAGCAAACTGCTTCACTCAGGAAGACTGTTTAAATGGGATCAAAGGCTGCTCTTGCCTCTTAAACTGCAGCCCATCAATTCTGCTCCACACATTCCAGTGGCTTTTTAGTAATGTCTCTGGAAAAAGTACTCTCTACCAGTACTAAACATTCATGGCACTGCAACTGAACAGTTCTCTGTGGCAGCTGGATACTAAACATTAGCACCAGTTCTCTAGAACAGAACAGAGTCAACCAAGAACATGACAATAGTAGAATTATTTTTAAAAGTCCACTGCTGTCTTAAAGAAAAATCACTGTAGAAGCAAAATATTGGTTTAACCATACTCTAAAAAGTAACATAATCAAAATAGAGAAGTCAAGGGTAAGTACTCTGTGTTTTCTCTATAATACTGTTTCAAATTAAATAAATAAATAGTTTGAGTGGCAATTTCATAAATAAAAAAATATTTTGAATGCCACAATTTCATAGGGTGAAATGCTAGCAGAAAACAAAATAAAAGGCTCTTTGGCTCTTGAAATTATGAAAACATCCTTGCCATCCATCACAAAAATCTTAACTGATTGAGTTTATTTAAACTGCAGACAAATAACTTCTTTCCCCTTAAAAATGAAAGGTGAACAAAAATGCACAACTTGGAAAAAAGTTTTAATCTTCCCCTCCCACTGAGGCATGCAAGAATTTTGATTAAATCAATATAATTGTTTGCACGTAACATACAACTCACAGATCAATTAAGTATCAGTCCTAAATGATACAGAAAACACCATAATTACACTTTCATCATCCAATGCGGATCACATCTACAGTATTTTACTTTACAGGCAATTCCATGTAGAAACTAGCACAAGTATTCCTTCCCTTTAGCACTTTTCTCCTTTTTTCAGGGTGGTGGGGTGGAGTAATCAAGAGAGAAAGTACAGATGTCTACCCTGACAAGAAGCCTTTGATTTGTTGCAAAGCAGACTTTCAAGTAATATGTCTCTGCACTGGGAAAGCCCTTTCTAAGGCTCTATTCACATTTTCAGGCATGCAGAGTAATAAATAACTAAAATTTAAGACAAGACAATATACTACAGGGGAAGAAACAAGAGGCAAACCTAATTCTTGGAATTTCTGCAAGCACCTTTAAAGCAGTTAAGTTTAACAGTGCAAATCTACATCTGTTTACTCAGAAGAAAGCCCCACTGAATTTGCTGGTCTTGCTTCCAGATGCACACGCATAAGACAGCAATTATTCAAATAATATGGAAAGGTATAATAGCCTGGATTTTTAATTAGAAAGTTACAAGAAAATGAGTGATGCCTTCCAAAGTTTAAACATCCGGAAAACATATATAGAAACAAAACTACTTCTGAAAGCCCATTAGCATCTGTTGGGACAGCTTTTCCTGCATTAAGGCATTAAATTCATAAAACTCACAATTGCATCCTACTCTAAAGGACTTTGTGGCAGAAAGGGAGCAAATACAGAATTTCAAGTAAACATTTCTTATATGTACAGACTCACTTTTCCATATGCCAGATACAATGAAGACATAACTGCATAAGGGCAACGTTGCCCTTGAGTCCTTCTTGTGAGGTTCCCATGAGCAACTGGTTGCCCACTGCATGAACAGAAGACTGACCCTGGTACATATTTGGCCTGATCCAGCATGGCTCTTCTTAAGTACTGGGGAGGGGGTAACACCAAGGTATGCAAAGAGCTTGCCAACATCATCCCAAGTCCCAGCCTTGCAGTTTTATTGCTGTGACAAAGCATTCCAGTTATGAGCTCAAGAAACTCCCATGCAAAATAAACTACCTTAAACTTAGTGGTTTACGTTACAATAATATATTGTAATGTGTACAATATATTGATCTAAATATCAAATAACAAGAAGCTGCCAAAACAATAGTGCATTGAAACCTCACTGAACATATTCCTTTTCGGAATCTGATGTAATGACAGGCGGCAAATTCCACATAAACAAACATGATTAGCACTGCAAAAGAACAGAGGCCTATAATTACTGTTATTTCATTATGAAATAATCAAGGGACTTCTCAAGCTGAATCTGATGTCCTGGACAATGCTCTGATGGACAGATGCACCAGCAATTTAATCAGTGGAGCCAACTGCACTCTACATACAAATGGTGCTGAATCACAGCTGCATCACAACTTCTTGAACAGAAGCACTCTGCTCCCAAACACAGTCATAACAAGGTAAAACCACAACATATGGCCCCATTTCAAATACAGGAATTGGCTTGGGTTGGCAACAAACAGTACAAAGTATCTCTGCACACTCCATGGAGGTGGGGAGCCTACGCTCTGCGGTAATTTAAAGAAGAGGCAGGTGGCAAAGAGTTAAGAAATTTGGTGCGTCTTATGGAGAGGTGTGTCTTATGGAGCGAAAAATAGTACTCTCTACCAGTACTAAACATTCATGGCACTGCAGCTGAACAGTTCTCTTTCTATGACAGCTGGATACCAAACATTAGCACCAGTTCTCTTTGCCTTGCCCTGCTGCTTCTCCACTCCCCAATGAATCTCTCTCACAACAAGTTCTTCCTGTTCAAAGGGCTACAATCTCATCAGTCAACACCTAGGAGGCAGCTTGCTTCTTCAATTCATGACAAGTAAATGCCCACCTTCTTGTTTTGTTTTCACAGTGAACTATTAAACACAAAACACAAGAAAGAACTTTTAGTTTTAACTTACCAGATCTAGATTTAATGATGTTGCTGAATTCACTGTGCCCTTCTTCATGTCTTTGTTCGGTATCTAAAACTTTGGCCATCTTTTTTTCCCCCAGATTCAGGTTTTCTATACAGAATTATTTAAAATCTTGCAACACAGTCCGCTTTAAAATCAATACCTAAAATAGAAACACATCCAAAAAAAATTAGATATAAGTTGTTTATTGAGGAGCTGATACACTGCTTTCAAAAACAAACTTTCTCTCAAGAGAATCACTTGGGATTATCAAGGAATTCAGTTAGAGCTCTGTGACCAATGATACTGAAGGCCCAAGGATGCCCTATCCCTGTCCATTCCTCTACTTAAATCATCCACTAGCATAATCAAAACTACCATATCCACAGTGGAAACCAGGATGGAATTCATCTGAATTAGCTGTGTAAATAGCTCATTTCCACTAGAATGTTTATATCACAACTCTAACTATTTTGCCTTCTATAACTCCTACCTCACTGTGGCTCTGTTTATATCACAATTCTAACTATTTTGCCTTGCCTTCTATAACTCCTACCTCACTGTGGCATAACCAGCATGGAATTAGTCTAAATTACTTTGATAAATAGTTCCCTTCCAGCAGAATCTTGGCTATATCATAACTACACTTTGATGGCTATAAGCCATGCCTCCCTATTGGTAAATGGCAGAATTTACATTAATTCACTCCCCTCTCTCCAATACTGCTTCACTGCTTATCTGAACAAATGCCTCAAGGTGAATCTGTTTTGTAATCTGCGATTACAAGAGCAAGGAGATTCCTGAAGAAGAAAGAGAGAGACCCAAGGAAACTTGTACCTGACCTATTCCAGTAATCCAGCATTTCAGTCAACCTGCTTAATTACACAGTCTATGGCACATGCACTTTGCTTTTTTAATGTTCACATCCATGACAGACAGATATGTTGAAAAAGTTCTAGTTTTATTCCATATATAATCTAGTACTATATTTGCAGAAAAATATGTATACAATACATATATATTTCTGCTCAAAAAAAACTGTTCAGTTCAATGAGACTTGTTTCCACCTAAGTGTGCAGAAGACTGCACTTTTCAAAAGAAAACATTCCTCATCACTTTAAAGAAATCCTGGCTCACAAACTAGAAAATTGCCTGGGAGTGGCTGAATCAACTTCCTTATTTATATGTGTGTTACAAAGGAGACAATTTTCCAGCTGTTCCCAAACCTTTATCAGTGAATTTCCAGAGCTCTCCCAAAACTATGGGGAGACAGAGTAATTATTTGCCCCTCCTAGAGTTTATCCACATAATATTTACATGGATGGGAGTACCTGCAGCCTTCCTTCTTGCCCTTTTCTTGCCACATAAAATTCTTGATTTTTTTTAATTCCTGCAAAGTGGTGAAAATGATAATAGAAGACTAGAAGCTTCATACATAATTCATTATTGTTAATCTCCAACCTGCCCCAAGGGCTTGGGACCATTTACAATGTATCCTTTAAAATTTCATTTTATTATGACTGGTTCAATAAAAGCTGAGAAGGGAGTAGGGGTGCTTTCAGAGGCCATCTACAAACGTGTGACTATCCTGAAGCTGTTGGGAGTGACCAGGGCTTTCTTAAACTCAGATTACCACACCCAATGGTGAAGCTGCAATCCTAAAATAACTGGAGGGCCATGAGTTACCCACTGCTGTAATCAAATGACTAAAGGAACTTCTGCTCTGTTACATCTACACAGTGGAAGATGTCTAGTAAAGTCATGACCCATCTGCACTGGAGGTCACTGCAATGGTTGTAAAATCAGCCTCAACCTCAACCTCCCCCCCCAAAAAAAAACCAATGTCTCTGCTAAGTGGAAAGATTCTCTTCTTGTTCCATATGAGTATGAGGGGGAACATGCTCCCCATTCCTGTATTAAAGCCAAGCTGAAATCTGGGTTGGGGTCAGAGGCTTGAACTGGTATCTATGCAAGTTTATTAGGAAAGGAAAGAGACCAATTAATAAGCATTAGGGCTGAAGAGAAGAAATCAGCTCTGACTTTCAACTTAGCATGAGACTATATCAGCTGCTAAACCCAAGTGTCAAAATGAAGTTTCACATGTAGAATATATTCTGCCCTAGTCTACCAAAAACCCCACCTTCTAGTCTGTCCCAGCTGTCAACAGGCAGCACACTCAAGCAACTACACAGCGCATAATCTATTCATTTTCCAGTCATTCTTTCAAAGGCGTTGCTATGGCTTTCACCCAGAAAGCATTCTAGAGTCACTCCCTGAGAAATCTGTTCATGAGTCAAGTTGACAAGAAGTTCCAGATACTGAACAGATAACAAATCTGACAAGAGAACATAGACAAAGGGTATATGAATAATGCCTGTGGGGTTTCTTTCTTTGTTTGTTTGTTTGAGGAGCTGTGATGTGATATCCAATAAACAGCTGCCTGAGATGCAGTTTGAAAACCACAACTCTAATGCAGCCTGCACTTCTTCTAACTCACTTCTGAGAAACCAGCCCGGCACAACCATCTGCCATGAATTTTCGGGAGTCTCATTTATATAATTTCTCTGAATTAAGTAGAGAATTTATATAGTTTTTCTTCATTAAGCAGCATACACTATGGACAAGACACTGGTGTGTGCCTGAGGAAATGGAGCTTGCAGGTTGTCTCATTTTTGTTTTTTACTGGTCTAATACAGGTATGACCTGCTCCTGCACTGCACTGACAGAAAACAGGCATTCCCATTTCAATCCTTACAATAACCTGCGGATCTTTCCTGCAGAAGGACAAGCAACACCTGTTTGAGTCTTATCCTGCTTACAAATATAGCAAGAGGACTTTCAAAGAGAGAGATGATATCACTGCTTTTCTGCCTTAAAATAACCCATGAACTAGCACAGAATATATGCATGAGGAAGGAGTTGGTGAAACACAGCAAACAGGAGAAGATACCTTTCACTTCATGAGGAAGCAACAGGTGTGTTTTCCATTCACTTTACAGGACAGCACCTCAACCTATGTGCACAAATACCAAACATCACATCCACTGGTATTTCTTCCCTTTTCAGAATGGCAGATGAAGTCCCAGTAACTCCTGTTAAAACCTCCTTCACTTCCCTGTCCCTCTCATGAAAGGCATTAGCTAATAAGACGTATTTTCAAGGCCAGCACAGGATATTTTGCTGCCTGAGGGAGAAAAGCAAACTATGTTTGCTGTTCTGCCTCAAACATTCCTCCAAGCCAAGCTTCAAAGTATCCTAAACCAGTCAAATTATTTTGATATTAGAGACTAAATAAATAACACCACTTCACTTCCTAGTTTGATGAAGAAAAAACACCTTCATAACAAAATTAAATAGGTAACACTGAGTAGCCTTTTCACAACACATCCAAAACCTGCTGCCTAAGGGCATCCACCTCACTTTATCTTATAGTAGGGCTGGTCCAGAGTATTTAATAACAGCTTGGTTGAAAGAATTCCAAGAATGAGTGAAACAAGCAGTCATTTTCCAACGTTAAAAGTCCTATGGGCCCATTGCTGCCACCTCATAGACACAAAAACTTTACCTAAGTTTGTATACATGTTCACAAAGAAAAGATAACCTGCTTGCATTCTAAGCACCTCCAGAACGACAGTAGAACTTGATAAGGAACCCCACAGAGCGGTGCTGCAAGTCAACCTGAATACAGTACTAGCCCACTGATGAAACAGCCCCTAATCCTCAAAAACAAAAACGTGCTGCTCAAAGGCTTCTGTTCCAATTGTTGGATATTTTGAGGTATTATTATATTCTATTTAAGGGGATAAATCTGCCTCGAATGTCCTGGCATAATAAACCGGAGAAACCCAGAAATGTGGTGGAACCTCTTGGTCCCCAAATCTTCATGTGTTATTTGAGAGGGGGGTCGCTCGCTCTGCGAATCCGCCCAGCTCTGAACTGCAAGTCTCCACGTGGGTCGGGTACTTTTTCAAACACGTCATGTACTCGCAATTTTCTCGCCACGCCAGCTTCCGACACGTCCTCCTCTGGCCGCTCCTCGTTTCCCAGCGAGGAACGGCATCTCGTTACCACCAACCCGACAAAACTTGCTCTCGGCGGGTATCCCCGTGAAGGCGGGGGAGGGACGGACGGCAGGCAGGCGGGCAGGCAGGCGCGCAATCCTGGGCGGCCGCCCTTTTGTCCTCCCCGCGTTCCTCGCTCCCTCGCCTGTCCGGGCCCGTCAATTATTCACCAGCTTACCTGCCCAGAACCACCCTTGGCGCCCGAAGAGCCAGGGCGGCAGCCACCGGTCAGACCGCAGAGCCCAGGGCGCTCCCGAGTTGCCGGCGGTCTCTCGATCTCTCTCCGCAGCGGCCGAAGCGAGGCAACAAGCGGAGACCCGGGGACGGGTGGCGAGGCGCCAAAGCAACCCGGCCAAGTCGCTGGAAGGGAAAGCCCTCCTTCCCTCCCTCCCTTCTACAAGTTTCACACGACGCGCTCGTAGTCGTTCCTCCGCTCGAAACCAAACTCCTCGCTCGACCGACCGACCTGCCTCCTGCTTCTTCTGGCCGCTTGCGCTCCACCCCAGAGGCGGAGGCGGCGGCGGCGGCTTCTCTCCCCCTCACTTCTCAAGCCTCTGGGAGCCCGGCCAGCCACCCCCTTCGCCGCTCAGGCGGACTCCACTTCTGGGGTGGCAAAGGGTGAGGAGGGCGGCCCGGCTCTGCCCTCCTCCTCTTCCTCCTCCTCCTCCGGCTCCTCCTGCCCTGGGGGCCCGGGAGTCCTCCTTTGTTGCAAGGTGAGGAGCCAGGGCTAGAAGGGGCGGGAACCAGGGAGGCAGCGAGCCTGAGCGGCTTGGGGAAAAGGGCTGCCCCGTCTCGCCCCGGCGGCTTCCCCTCCCGCGCTCCCGCGCTCTCGCTCCCTCACGGACTTTGCCTTCTGCTGACGGAAAGCGAGGAGCTGGTGCGGCTGACAAGGCAGAAAGAAGCTGCCGCTCGAGGAGCGTCGACGCGCTCAGCTAACTTTCTGCTGCGCTGGGAACTTTGCTCCCGGAACCTAGGCGGCGCGTGCACGAGGGAGGTGTGTGCGCGCGCTCACGGACCCTCCCCGGCCTCTCGCTCCCTCTCGGACTTTGCCTTCTGCTGACGGAAAGCGAGGAGCTGGTGCGGCTGACAAGGCAGAAAGAAGCTGCCGCTCGAGGAGCGTCGACGCGCTCAGCTAACTTTCTGCTGCGCTGGGAACTTTGCTCCCGGAACCTAGGCGGCGCGTGCACGAGGGAGGTGTGTGCGCGCGCTCACGGACCCTCCCCGGCCTCGGCGGGGCTACAGCGAGCGCTGGGAACGTGGCGTGGCGGCGTCACGTGACCCTTCGCCCTCGCCCGTCCGGCCCGAGCGGCTCCCCTCAGCTCCGCTCGCCTGGCTCAGAGGGTCGGGGAAAGACCTTCGCTTCCCTTCAGACTGAGCCTCAGCTTTATTGGGCGACAACAGTCGCCCCTGATGAAGTGTTTTGCAATCCATGAAAGCTCTTGCCAAATAAAATTTGTTACACTAAATCTCTTGCTTGCATGCTTGCTGCAACAGATTAGCACAGCTTTGCACGCTTACCTGAAAGTGGACCCCACAGAAAATACCGAGGATCCTTAAAGTTTATACCACAGCTTGCATTATCTCTGATTAATGTGGGTGTGCGGACTAGAACTGGCAGGAATTGTAGTCCAAAACCTAGGCACCACAGTGAGGAAGGGTGGCATATCCTGTATGTCCTGCGCCAATTTCAGGGCAGGTCCTCTTATGGCTTGAGAATTGGCTGAGAACCAGGAAACAAAGTGTAGGTGTCAATGGGCAATTTTTACAATGGAGAGAAGTGGAGAGTGGTGTGCCCCAGGGATCTGTCCTGGGCCTGGTGCTTTTCAACCTGTTCATAATTGATATGGAGACAGGGATAAGCAGTGGGGTGGCCAGGTTTTCCTGGTGGTGAGGACCAGAAGTGATTGTGAAGAGCTCCAGAAGGATCTCTCCAAAATGGCAAATGTGTTTCAATATAAGAAAATGTAAAATAATGCACATTGGGACAAAAAACAAAACTTTAGTTATCCGCTAATGGGTTCGGAGCTGTCCGTGATGGATAAGGAAAGAGATCTTGGTGTGCTGGCGGACTGCACCATTCATCTTAGCAGAACTTCCATTCACTCATGAACGTCCAGGATACCTCCTTGGGTGCACTCCAAAAAAGCCCTACCATATGCCCTGTGACCAGACCGGTGTTATGTCTACCTCTGTTCCAGTTGTCTCATACCTAGCCAGGTTTGTTCCCAGGATCAAATTACTCTACCACATTAACATTCTCTGGCAAAGAAGCATTGCAGGGAAAGCTCAGGAATGGTGGATGTCATTCAAGGAGACTTGCCTGCAATTATTTACCTGTAAACTAACCCCTAATTAGCATTTGAGGAATGTTAAGAACAGAATAGGAGAACCAGTGCAGCACCAATTTCTACTCTAGGTTTTTCTATGGGAGTGTTTTTATATACTGCTTTGGACCAGTATATAAAAATACAGAACAGACATTACAGTGATGAAAATAAAGTCAATATAGGTCTGCAAGTGGGCAATGGAGGTCCAAGTCTGTTTGGGCCTTGATTTTGGTTTACCTCTGTAGCTACTTTCATTGTGCCTAGGTCTTTCCACAAAGTAAGATTTTGGGGTATGATTCCACAACGGAAAACTAGGACTATCTTTGTGGGATTGTACCCCAGGAGTGCAACCATACAAGCATTAACAGGTGCTAGAATTCTACTCAGTGATGTCCTCCTGACACATTTTGGTTTAAAAGTCCTAATGGAACTTTATTTTCTGCAAGCAACTCCAACTGTAAGCACCATGTTGGTGCCTGAAATTCAGTGGCATGTATTTTGTAGTATCCAGTGTCAACTCTGTTTTTATAAATGGTTTTGCTTTTCTTACCTGATTTAAAAATCTTGGCAAATGTTATTGCATTTGCAATGCTACCTTAAAAATCTAGTCCCATAGAACCAATAGAGTGATACATTATGAATGTTTGGATCTGATCACATTTTACTATAAAATAGAACTTAGCCAAATATTGTGACTTCAGATATTTGTAACTTGTGATTTTTATTGTCTTTTATGTAAACTGTTACCACTTTGAGTTCATGAAAAGCATCAAATGTTAATGTATCTTTCTTCCAGAAAAAGGCACTTGTGGGGTCTCAAATTACCAAATAACTTGCCAGCCCGGATACAATGTCCCTTGAGTCCTACACATTCTTGTAAACACAAAACAAATCCTCCTAGCACATACATCTCTTTCTCCTCAGATATAGCCCTGATAAGTATGCCTGGGCCATAGTTTCTAGACCTGGTTTCTAGGCAGTCAGACCTGGTTAGAAATGGACAAGCTGGCTATATGAAGCAGAGAAGGTTAAAAATGCAGGGATGTAGTGTAGATCTGTAAGACGGACCAGAAAGTAAGGGATAGTCACTGTGAAGGGAAAAGCGGAAGGCATCTGTGCCATTATTGCTTATGTAAGGGAAATGGTTCTAATATGCTTCCAAGTAATATGTGGGTCTCTTACCATCTACTATCTAATACCATCATGTACCATTAACATCTATCATCAGCTAATCAGGGGTGGAAAGCCTCCAGTGTGCCAGCTAGATCTTGTCCGTGGGAGAGCTCCAGCTAGCCTACCCTGCTGTCCTTATCTTAAATCAGGGATTGCAGCGTAGAGATTTTCTCTCCTCTCTCCCATGCTACAGTGAAACTTTTAAAAAACTGAATGAATGGGAGTGACTGAATTGGATGTTCAGATACACTAGTTCTGTGCAGAATTTAGAAACTCTGAAATTTTGGGGATCTTATTTTCCAGATTCCCCTAGGCAGCATGGAGTTCCCGCAGTCAACCATGAAATTGTGGCAGCTGTGGTCCAAAAATGTAACTTTACCCAGTTCTCTTCCTCAGGCCTAGATGGCAACCTAATGCACAGAGCCCAGTCTTTCAGACTTTCAATGAAAGCAAAGGACTGGTGCTGCAGGAAGTGGGGGGGGGGAGTAGCATCTAACCACTAAGAGTAACAATAGTACATCATAGCAGAGCTCGGAAAAGCTACTTTGAAAAATTCTGAGAGTAGCCATGCTAGAGGCTCTGGAAATTCCCCTCATGGAGATTGTCCAAGCTTTGCGCACACACATATAGAATTTAAATTTGTCAGACTCCATCAACTCATCTACTGCTAGTTCAGGGGAGGCATAGCTGAATGCAGTATTCAGCTGCTAGCCACTTAGCCTGTTTAATGTCAATGAAACATTCCATGTGTGCTTTTAAATATATGTATATATACTGAATATTACTGCAAACTATTAACACTTCTCCACTATCCAGTCCTCCTCATCCACTGGGGAATTATCATTAGTTCAAAGAGTCCTTTCTCAGAGGTTGGAGGAGAGTTACCTTCATTACTCCACTCACTGTTAAACCCCCAAAAACAGTTAAGGCTTAAAACTTTTAGCCTCCCTTCCTTAATGTCCTTCACCAATTAGTGTAAATACTTGAACTACTGCTTGTAGTATAACCAATGCTGCTGCTTTGGGGTCAGGTCCTCCCAACTGACAGGGCCCTTGTTCTTGGTTTCAGTAGCACCTCTCCTGAATGTCCAGGCTCACCCACTCACACAGACAAATGGATGTGTTATGTGTATAATAAATGCATGCTGTCAAGCTGATTCTAACTAATGGTAACCCTTCTAGATATGGAGTGCTCAGAAGTGGTTTACCATTTCCTTTTCCTAGGGGCACTCTGTTTGCCAAAGTTTACATAGGCTGGCTTTTCTCCTGGGAGGTACAGTGGGAAATCAAACTCCTCACCCAGGTGCCCAATTCACCAAGCTATCCAGTCAGCAAAACTACATACAGTACATATATTACAGATTTTGCCCATTTTCTGTACATTGTATCATTCTTTTTTATTTACAATTACAGATTGAATATGTAACCTAGAAAAACCGTAATTCACAACAATGTAGGACATAGTAATAGAAATACATGCAGTGATTTATTAAACTATGACTTAAAAATACATTTATTCCAGTGACTAGCTGTTTTTAATGGATGAGGGTGGTGGAATGGCCTTGTTCAGCTGTGAAAATCAGGTCTTTATTCTAACAAAAGCCATTCTGTCCAGTACCATGCTTAGGAACGCAATGGGTTGGAAAGGTTGCCTTATACCAAACCATCAGTGGCACATCTAGGTTAGTACTGCCCTATACAAAGACAACCATCAGCTCTCTGATTTTCTCCAGTCCTACCAAGAAGTACCAGAGACTAAACAGAGGACTTTTTGTGTGTAGAACACTGGTTTTATCTCTGAACTGTAAACTTTCTTCAAAATATTGAGCTATATACAGTGATAAGAGAAAAACAACCCCACGTTTTAAAACTATGTAAGAAGAAATAAACTCTGAGAGGTTGCAAAATGCTCGTACACCTGTCAAACATTGCACATATAACAATATTAAATATGACTTTTCTCCTAATACATTTAAAACACTGTAATATCTTTCTCTGTGCTCACGACCTGGGGTTCAAATCCCAGGTAGCCGGCTCAAGGTTGACTCAGCCTTCCATTCTGTGTAATATCTTTCTCATATGTGAAAGTTGTAAACTAGACTTCACATGCAGCAAAGGCAACTGGTTGGCTTTTTTTAGTTTAAAAAAAAAAACATTGGGAAGCTGATTTTAGTAGACCAAAGGGAGATATTTCAGCTCAGAATTTACATTTCTCACTTCTCAGTTCAATTCCCAAATTCCCTGCCCCCATGTTAGGATTTCAGGTAAGTATCTATAGACATACTGTACACATAGCATCCTGCTGTAGGAAAGTGGGGAAGGAAGAGATTTTTAGTGAAAAACTATGACTAGGAAAGTGCCCAGATCATCCATTCCTATCCCATACCATTTCTGTGCTCAAAATAGCAGCCTTCAGAGGCTTATTTTCATTTAAAAAAAAAAAGAAAAAGGAGAGACCGCTTCGTTATATGCAATTACTCCCTGACATTGCTATATGTCAGTTACTTAAAGTACATA